TTAAATATCCAGATTAATTCCCATCTCAGTTGACTCAGTTTCTGAGGAAGCATAGTATATAGGATCTGGAAATTAGTCACAGTTGGGCCCCTGGCTACCATAAAAAACTAATAGCCAAGCCCGGGAGGTTGGAGAGAAGAAAAAATGATCCCTAAGCAGCAAAATACACGAAAAAATCATCCTTTCAGTAATTTCCCAAAAGAAGCACCTTACTATCCCCACCACCCCAATTTCTATAACTGAAAAATTTGGAGAAGACCAGTTCTCTCTCTTTCTCATTCCTTTTTTTTCCAAATTGATATCTTATCTTGCAGGGTGGCGGGGGGGAAGGTAGACCCTTAAGTTATTACCTAATTGCAGATGATCTAGTAAAGGGAAGGTCTCCTGAGCAATATATATACCTTTATATTAGACACTATGTACAGATGGATTTGAAAACTTATGAATTATAATAAGGGAAGAGTTTTACAAAAAACACAATCTTGTAATAATTAAGTTATCCTTGACCAAATAGGAAAATTCTTACTACAACTCATCCAAATATCTACTTGTGAGAAGAGCACATTTTTGAAGAATGATTTATATCAACTTCATTCAGGAAAAGATGTTTGGATGTCAAAATAAAAATAGCAAAGTATCACTTGGGATCATCCATGTGTAGATAGACAGGTAACGATAAGAACAGACACATACATGTGTGTATAATATTTTAGAAAACTTAAACGCAGAAAAGCAGAATAATAAAATTAACACCAAGTATCCAGAATTGAGAATTGTCTACATTATCGTATTTGTTTCATTTTTTTTGAATAAGAAGATAACACACACAAAAATTCAAATTCTTTCTATATGCCTTGTCTACAAGAGCCATGGTCCACATGCACTGTAATTTTTCTGTTTTGTTTTCCAGTAAAATACTAGGCACCAGTAATAAATGCATGTCAGAATTTAATGTACTCTCCTCTAGTATTTTTTTAATACTTCTACAAATAGTTAAATATGATAATAAACAGATAGATGTTTTGTGTCTAGGATTAAAATTTACATAAATGTTATTATATAAAAAATATCAAAATATCATTCTATATGTTGCTTGTTTTACTTAATGAATTGTTGACCAATATTCTTTAACTGCAGAGGAACCTCAATATACTATTCCAAACATGCAACCATGTTCAGTTAGTACAAACATAGAATTCTATTATCAGTGTTTTCAAATTTCCTGCTTAGAATATTACGATCAATTCTCCTTACAAAATTCTAGACTGTCCATGTTTGTATTCTTCTATGTAGTTCTGGCTCTCTTTATTTTATACAAAACATGGACTGAAGTAGGTAAAGTAACTAATAGAAATAAATTAAGAGAAAGAAGAGGGAACAAAAAAGAGAACTTATCCATCTAAAATAGGTAGGAGTACTGTCGATTACTATTGTATGTATATTGTGAGATAAAGTAAACGAGGAAGTATTTACTGACACTGGGAACTGGGATTTTGGGCATGGGAGACAGAAGAAACAAGTGTTAAGATAAAAGTTAAATAAAAACTCTCTAGTCCTAAATTTGAATTGTAAGTATCAGTATCAACTCAAGAGCATATTCCATTTCTGAACTCTGAAAAAGCCTAGAAAGAAGAATTAACTTAGCACAAAGAAGCACCCCTAGTAACCAGATGCCAGTTGCCATTGAGTCAATTCCAATGCACGGTGACCCCACGTGTGGCAGAATAGAACTGTGCTCCAAAGGGTTTTCAATGGCTGATTTTATCAGAAGTAGACCACCAGGCCTTTCTTTTGGGGTGCCTCCAATCTTTTCGTTAGCAGCTGAGCATGTTAACTCTGCACCACCCAGGGACTCCAGTACCCAGATAAACCTGTTGCCCTCTAGTCGATTCCGACTCATAGCAACCAGTTAAGTGTTCAGCTGCTAACCAAAAGGTCGGCAGTTCGAACTCACCAGCTGCTCCTTGGAAACCCTATGGGGCAGTTCTGCTCTGTCCTATAGGGTTGCTATGAGTCGGAATTGACTTGATGACAATGGGTTTGGTTTTTTGGTTTTCTCCCTAAGGAAGTAGGGCTCCTGGGAAAAAAGGCTAATTCCATCCAGTTCTGGAAAAAATATGAGAGATGCCTGGAACATCTTGTTGTACCAAAAATCAAGCTATCAGCACTACTCAGGGCCTGTGAAAAGGATTCAAGAGTCAACTTGAAGAAAGTCCCATTGCCAAAGATGGGATAACCAAGCATCAAAAAGAACAACAGCAGCAACGGTCTAAAACACGTCCAAAAGATGACAGACAAACAAAAATATATAAATCCATAAGCGTATAATGATACTTAACAAAACAAATTTTATTGTTCACGTGTTAGGTAATCAAATCCTGGGGGGGCATTAGTAAATACGGATAAAGAATCAAGCATTTATCTTGCCTTTCCTGTAAAATCTCTCTACACACACACACACACACACACACACACACACACACACACACACACACACACACCATTTCTCTCTCTCTCACATCTTAGGATAACTGAATAGTTAGTTGATAAAGGCAGGTTTCTTCTTACAGGAAGTCTTATCAGATATTAAACCTGAATATGATCAGCCCTCTAGATCTAACTACTGACTTGTAAGAAATACAGGAGACAGAAAAGGGCAATCAGCAAAATCCACTCTGTGGGAAAATGTACGGGACAAATAATCTAGTTTCTTCAAAGGACAGCTTTAAAGAGGAGGAGAAAAAAAATGGAAGGAGTTCCGGATTCGCAATCGATAGAAAGGTATGATCTCATTTTGATCTAGGTTCTTGCAAATAAACAATTAAAGAAATCATTTATGAGACAACCAAGAAGATGTGAATAATGCCTGAATTTTAATAATATTAAAGAATTATTATTAATTTAGGTGAGATAATGAAACGCCAGTCATTTTTAAAAATAGAACATTTATCTTTTGGAAATGGTTTCATTTCGGTCTGAAACATTTCATCCTGTATTATTTCAAAACAATCTAGGGGACGTGGGACATAAGTAGGGGTACTGATGAAACAAGAAGCCCTGGTGGCGCAGTGGTTAAGCGTTTGGTTGCTAACCGAAAGGTCAGTGGTTTGAACCCACCAGCTGCTCCACAGGAGAAAGAAGTGGCAGTGTGCTTCCGTAAAGATTTACAGCCTTGGAAACCCTATGGGGCCGTTCTACTCTTTCCTATTGGGTCGCTGTGAGTCAGAATCCATTCATTGGCAAGGTGGGTTTGGTTCTTTCTTTTTTTTGCATAGATGAAACAAGATTAGCAAATGTTGATCATAATTTAAGCAGGGTAACCAGTGCATGGAAGTTGGTTGTATTCTTTTCTCTACTTACATATGTTAAAGTTTAAAAAACAAAACAAAAGATAAAGACTGGGGGTTTATTGAGAATTCTGTAAAATCCTGAAAGGCCTCATTTGAAAAAAGTTAAATTTCCCCCAAATATCAGATTACCATAGGTGGGGCACACTCTGTCAGGCTTAAATGTAAATAACAATGAAAATGTTGCTTTATATGACCTGGTACAGACTATAGGAGTCTCTAACGACCAATCTCAAATCATGAGTACCGCAAGTCTACTACCTTATAAAACATATCAAAACCAAAGGCATATTCTGTGGGAGCAGGAAATGTGGGTTTTAGATGCAGAGATCCAACGGAATAGAAGTGTTCAGATCACAGGAATTTATGGGAAAACCCTCTTCCTGTCTAATCATCTTTAATAAGCTAGATAATCAAATGGGTTTTCCAGGTTGCCCTTCATCCATATTTATGTAGCAGAAATAATGAAACTGAAGCAGCAGTTCAGTCCTAACAGATGCATTGGATGACTGCATGATCAATTTGGACAAGAAGGAAGACGGCCTGACTGCTCTCAAACTAAGAGACTGCGCACAGTGTGGCAAATTTGGTTGCAGTGAAGCCTTCTTCTCTAAGCATGGGATGATTTTAGTCCTCAAGGTATTCTATAATCAAACATATGGAAATATAAAATAAGTGACTAAGGAGGTTTTTAATGGTCTCATCTGATAACAGGTAATGTATCATAAGAAAAATACAATAAATACAAATAAATATTCCTAAATATTAAAATGAATAGTTTTGTGCTTTGTAGTATATCCACCGCCCACTCCAAGCCTAGTTATAAACTTGCTGCTTTGGACAAGCAAAACACAAACAGAGCAGATGCCTTTGTTATCGCTGCAGGTAAATTTCTGGCACCTGCTTGGACACCAGCTGTGTGCTAATTAATCTTGTGATGGCCCAGATCACCAAATATTACAAAGCTGGAAACACTCCTTCCAGATTCTGGAGGAATGTGTCTGCATGTTGGCTGATGGATGTCCCTGGGGGAGACCAAGCTGGGTCATGACAGTCTGCATGATGAGTTCTGCCAGATGCAATGTAAGAACTGGCCGCGTGAGCATATGTGTTTGAGGCAGTTTGAGGTGTCTGGGTGGAGAAAGCTTCTGAGAATGCAGAGCAAAAGTATTCTCTGCTCTAGTGATATGGACATACAGACGTCCAGGGTCTGCTTGTACGTCCGAGTACCATCTTCTGATTATGTATTAGTCAGTAACAGCATGCCCATCACATCTGAGCCCTACCTTACAACAGACTTCAGCATTTTACTGCTGGAGCTTTCCATGTAGCCCTTTATCTATATTTATGTAGCAGAAATTATGGAACTGAAGCACCGCTTCCAGCCGGAACAGATGAATTGGATTACTGCATGATCAATTTGGAAAAAAAAGGAAGATGGCCCGAAAGCATGCAAACTAAGAGACTACGCACATCTGTGCGGCAAATTTGGTTGCAGTGAAGGCTTCTGCTCTCACCATGGCTTTATTTTAGTCCTCAAGGCCTTCGATAATCAAAGGCATAAAAATATAAAATAAAAAGCTCAATTGTTGCTTTCTTTCAAGAAGTCAGATGACATGAATGGATTGTATTAGGAAAATGAAAATGACCTACCTGAAGACCGCAAGGGTCAGAGACCAGAGTACTAAGGGTTTCCTCAGTTCAAACTTTGCCCGTTTGTTCATTAGGTGCCGACCACCAAATATAAAGGCAGCGTACAGAGCGGAAAACAGGAAAGATTTCTTCCTGTGAATAAATCAACAAAAGCTTATGAAATGACAACTCTTTCAGCAATTAATTTTGTTAATTGGAAGACAAAATTTGTACCAGTTCCCCTCTTTATAAGCACTGAAAACATATTCTTGGGAACGGGCTCCCTTCACTGAGGAGAGTATGATTAGTCCGTGTCTTTCTGTTGAAACCTCCCTTGGCAAATTAGGTCATCAAGCAGATTAACCAACAACACATTAAATATCATGTCAGGTTATGTTTTCTTCTCAAGCTCTATGACTGTAAACATTTCAACAACATAGCCTTGAGGTGCAAAGAACATGCTTTACCTTTGCATTGAGAGAATTAAATTTGTTTTTCAAAGTTTGCAAAGCCAATTTTCATAGATGAATTTGAAAAAGCATTGAAAATAAATGATTGGTGACCGGGTTGTGTCTTGGGAAGATAAAGTCAATAGGTTAATGGAGTAATACTTGATGATGTGAAACATTCAAATGCAAGCTGCATGACATATAGCTTCCCCACCATGGATTCTTGAAATCCTCTCCACTAAAGAGGGCATGTGTTAAACTTCAATATTATTATTAATAACAGGCACAACTGTCAGACATTATACAATACGATAGGAAGCACTCAGAATCACCTGTAAAGTACACTTGCCCCAAAACTTGAACCTAATCAAACCTCTTGATCTGTTTGTAGGAAATACAGGGGATAAATAACATAGGTTATAAGAAAGCAATCAGACAAATCAGAACATTCAGCAGGACAACTGAACTTCAACAAGTCAGTAGCATGGAATAAAAGTTGAGGATTATTCCAGATTTAGAGACATAGCAACCAAATAGAATGTGTAGAACATTTTTTGATCCTTATTTGATCAATTGTAAAAAGACATTTTGAATATAATCAGAAAAATTTTAAAAAGGATTACATATATAGATGATATAAAAAAATCACGTTTAATTTTATGTGAACTGTAATTCTAAAAGTCTTTACTAGTTATTGATACACACTGAAATATTTATAGGTGGAACTCAGTGCCATCTTGGATTTGCTTTTACAGACCCCAGCCAATACACAAAATAAAAAAAGTACTGAGTGTGGATGGATGTAACAAGATTCACGAGAGGGATGATGGAACATGGGGTACATTATTCTCTCTTTCTGTCTCTCTTTTTTGGGGGGGCACGTTTAAAATTTCCATAATAAGACATTTTTTAAAGATGATTCATTGTGGAAGAAAATGTCTGCATCAGAAATTGTTTCAGCAAAACATCTGATACAGCAATATCTCAAGATGTTCACTTTGAAAGAGCTGCGTTCTGAGCGATAGCCTTTGGTAGTCAGGTTTGGGTAGGACTCTCAGTTGGAAACATAGAAGCAGTATAAAACAGAACCTCCAGGTCCAAATGAGCCTGCTGGTTTACTGCTCTACCAAGTAGAAGCAAATGGTAGTACTGATGATGCCAAGAAAACAACAACAACGAAAACAAAACAAGCTCCAATAGGACTTTGATTCAATAGAAAGCAACAAAAGCCTTGTAAATAATTCAAGCATCTGAGCACATTTCCTGAAACAGCAGTGTTTCTCTTTAAGTGGGTATTCCCCAATCAGTTAGATGGCTAAGGAAGGGGTAGAAAAATTATAACACTATGAAAAAAGCAAAATGTGTTAACCTAAAGAGAACTGTTTGTAAAATGTTTCCTTTTTTTTTTTCTAACTGCTGACATTTATTGCTGACTCATAAGGGATCTGCTAACATTATTTACACAAGCAACACTCTGACTTAAGTGAATGCAAGTGACTTACTTGGTGAACATCACCAAATAAGGCAATGATTCTGGAAATTAGCCCATAAATGAGCGCTGAATAAATCACGCATTGAGGTTTGCAAACTCTACTCTTGGACACCTAACACCTGACACAGGTAGTAGGTGGCTTCATAAACATTTCTGGAATAAAAATGGTCTTGTCATATCAAATTTTCTGAAAGGGAAAATAATTATGCACCTATGCATAGCAGGTGTCAGTAAGTCCTGAGTGGGGAATTGCATTTTCCTGATAATGTATTAGTAATAAATCAAGAATAAAATATTCAGAAAAACTGTATAATACATTTTCTTCTTTCAGAAAGACACAGACTCTTTGTATATTTCTAAGAGAAGTTGCTGGGTGGTGCAAATGATTAAGCACAAGACTATTAGACGAAAGGTTGGTGGTTCAAATCCACTCAGAGGAGCTTCTGTAAACAGGCCTGGTGATCTGGTTCCGAAAGGTCACAGCTTTGAAAACCCTGTGGAGCAGTTCTACTCTGCACACGTGGCGTTGCCATGAGTCTGAATCAACTCAACAGCAACTAACAATAACTAATATATTTCAAAGAGGAGGCGAATTGAGGCAATTTTTACTATGGAACATTTCAGGAAGAAAATACTTTTTGCCATAAAAATATATCGCTTCATTTCTTCACTGAAATTTGCAAGTGCATGGCCTTAGGGTACTTTTAAGAGACAGATTCACTATCTGCATTTATGCTCCTATGAGCAAGGGCTCGATAAAATTCTACACAGTTAATGTAGGCAGTAGTAACATGAAATGTAAGTAATATATACTTTTCTAAATTATAAAGTAATGACAAGTGGCAGTAATAATAGTAGTATTAATATTAATAATCATAATATTTACTGAGTGCTTCCTGTGTTTAGACATCATGCTAAAAGCACTACCATTTTATTCTCCTAATCACCCCACAGGGTAGGGAAAGTGGTAGCTTCCTTTTGTAGATGAGGAAACAGGTTAGAGGTTAAGCAGCCTCAGATCTCCCTGTTCCCCGGCAGTAAACTTAGAGGAGAAAAAAAAAAGGTGTGTCTGATGTGTCATCTTATAAGCGTGTAAGAATTCCCTAGACTCTCCTGCTGAATTACATGGTTATTGTGTAATTATGGAGAACTTTGTGTAACTTTGAAAAATGAAAAGGAAACTACCCACCTTGGTGTTTCAACTATATTCTCTGGGCCTGGACAACTTTTATCCATAACTATTCACCTCCCTAAAAACACAAATTAACTATATATAGCACTGAAAACCTTTCCTTATAATTATTTAACATTCCTTCACTCACTCATTCAATATAATTCAGATTTTGGTCATGGTTGGATTCACTGTATTAATTGCAATTACGAACCTTGTTAAATGAATGTCATAATCAGGGCTTCCAACCAGTTCGTTTCAGAGAAGTCTAACAAGTTACCTGCTGAGAATTTGCATTTCTAACAAGTTCCCAGGAAGTTATACATAAGAATCACCTGGGAATCTTGTTAAACTGTAGATTCTGATTCAGTATATCTGGGTGGAAATGCAAATTATCAGCAGGGGTTCAAAGAGAAACCCTGGACTTTATAAGAGCCTATCATTCCAGCCCTTATGGGGAAATGTGCCTTGAAGAGCCAAGAATAAAAATCTTCCTTTTTTTTTTTTCTCTCTAATTTCCTCTGTTCTAGAATGAGAACTAGTATTAATGCACTGCTAACTAACTTCCTATGAAGGATCATTCCCTTTTCCACATGGTTTCCAAAACTCTCTTTATAAACCATCAACTCAAAAGCTAAGGCAACCGAATCAATTAATATAGAATCACAGAAATTGAGAATTTGAGATGGAGGCCAACCTTGTCATTCCACTGAAGAGGGAACAGAGGGCCCAATGACATTAGTTGCTTGTGGCCACACAGCCTGGCCCCTCTGGCCCCAGGGCATTATTCTGTGCATAAGTGCACACAGCACATCAGTCAACACCACCCAAAATTTTCCTGGCTGTGATCAAGCAGTCTGTGAGCAAGCAATTAAACACACACTAAGTGTCTAGGCTATATTTGGGTCACAGGTAGTCAACAACAGGAGTTGATATTTGTTTAAGAATACATGCTATTATAAAAATAAATTACTTATTGCATACTATATAAATTTTCTACTGGGGTGAAATTCAAGTAATGCTTTGGATTAGTTTAGAATTAAGGCAATTTAGGCTTCTTCTGTAGGAAGGAGTCATCTAATGAAGCATTAACTCTTAACCTCTTAAATTGAGTAATCAAAATGTGTCATTTATGGTTGAATGTATTATTATTTTTCCATTTTGATTACTAAATGATAAAATTTTCTTTAGCAAACTGGGCAATTTGAGAGGATTATAATTTTCTTGCCTTTCTAGCATCTCTTTGGTAAATGTTCAGTCACAGTCAAGATGAATAATGGCCTGCCGCTAGCTCACTTAGTATTTAACATGGGTAGATTATTTCCCAATGCCTCAGCAAACAAACAAAAACCCCCAAAGCCGTTGCCATCCAATTGATTCTGACCCATAGCGACCCTATAGGACAGAGCAGAACTGCCCCATAGGGTTTCCAAGGAGAGGCTGATGGATTAGAACTGCTGACCTTTTGGTTAGCATTCGTAGCTCTTAACCACTACATCACCAGGGCTCCAATGCCTCAATGGTAACCTAATAACATTTCATATTATGACTGGCCTCCGTAGCTGGGTATAATGATAACACTACACTGTTTTATTAGCACATAATTAGTAATTTCTAGATGGTATGGACTCTTCTTGTTTATCAGATGTTAAATGTACATCATATAGCACACTTTTCTCTGTAGATGTTGAACAAATAGTGCTTAGTGCTAAATCACCAATTATCTAAAGATCACCCAAATGAAATACTGATGTGTTTTGAGTTTGTTAAGCTTATATTTATACATATTATTTAAAAAAAAATTCTTTTCTGGTAAAATATGCATAACATAAAATTTGCAGTCGTGACCATTTTTAAGTGTACAGTTCAGTGACATTAAATACATTCATAATGTTGTGCAACCACCACCGTTTCCAAAATTCTTTCTGTTTTTACCCCAAATGGAATGGATTTTTCCTTTCCCCCCTTCCATTTCTGTCATCAGTATAGCATCCTTAGGGCTCTAGATTTCTCCGCAATGTTACCTTGTTTCCAACCATTC